GTTTAAAACTAAGTATGCCAATAATAAATGAATCGTTTTTCCAAGTACGTAGGGTTTCCTATGGGAAAAACTGTTATTTTACAATAATTTTCCTAATTTAGGAAAGGAAAATAAATTTAAAATATTACAATACCTAAATAGTACTAGTAATTTAGTTTTTATACTGATGCTTGTAGAATTCAACATTTACTACCACCAAGACTAACTGAAACCCCCGCCGGGATCATACAGGAATTTTTAGATAAGTTTTTTTTTTTTTTTTTGCTTTTGCTAACATAATAGGGTTGTCTCTTTAGTTTAGCCGTATATATGAAGTCTTTTATTTTAATAACATTTTATTGAACTATAATTAAATACAGAAAAGTGCACAAATCATAAGTATACAGCTTGATAAATATTCGTAAGGTGATGCACCTATGGTAACCACGCACTAGATAATGAAACAGAACATTACCAGCACCATAAGCCCCCCTTGTCCACTCCTGCTGGTTAAAGCCAGTCAAAAAATAATGTATACAGTATGTTCCCATTACATAAAATCAAAACGAGACAAATTAATTGATGGTGATTTAAGTCATGATGGTGCTTACCTTTTAGAAGAGGAGGGTAGTAACTGAAAAGGGTCTCATTTCTGACACCACGCATAAATGCTGCCTGTTTTGAACTTTTCATCTAAATGGAATCAGAGTGTGCACTCTTTTGTGTCTGGTGAAGGCTATGAATATTATATTTAATTATATTTAACTGTTACTTCACTAAGTTCTTTTTACAGTTTTTCAACAAATTCCCTTGGTTTTCTAATATTCATATCTGCATAATTTTTCTTCTTCTTTTTCAATTCACAAGTCTATTTTGTCTAACTTCATTGGCTAAAACTCCCAACACAATGTTAAGTGATACAGGAGTAGTGGGCTATGTCTTGTTCCTGACTTTAGTTGGAAGCTTCTTTTGTTTTGACATTAAGATGCTGGCTTTTAGGCAGAGGTACAATGTTAATGAATTATCATCCATTTCATTTACTGAGTATATTTAATAGAAGTGAGTGAACAATTCTATCTTATGCCTTTTCTGCAAAGGTGGAAGATAATTGTATAATTTAATTCCTATAATAAACCCAAACATGAATCATGATTTATTACCTTTTGAAAGTGCTGTTGGATTGTTTGCTAATATATCATTAAATTTTTCATTGATATTTGTGAGATTGGTCCAGTCCTTTGCCAGGTTTTGAATCAATGCTATTATCTTCACTTTAAAAAATGAATTTGAAGTGTTTTTTTCCCCCCTTTGGCACTTTGAGGTTTAAATTCTTTTTCCAGTTCCTAGAATTAAGCAACAGTGGGATTATTTAAGCATAAAGGTTTGGTTTGGAAATTCCCTTGAAACAATCTGTGCTGATGCTTTTTTTGGTAGGGTTCTTATTTATTTTACTTATTTTTAAAATTATTCATGAAATTATGGGGTACAAACATTTTGTTGACAGTTTATGATTTTTTGCCACATCCCAACCATGATTTGAGACTGCCCTTCCCCACCCACGAAGCTCACCGTCCATTAGTTGTGAGTTTACCCATCAACCGACCCTATCCTCCAAAGAATATTACACTGTGTGAGACTTAGCAGAATTTATTTATCTTACCTTATTTACTTATTTATCAGAGTCTCGTTTGTGCCCAGGCTACAGTGAGGTGCCAATGTGTTCACCTAGCTCACAGCAACCTCAAGAAATTCCTGGCTCAAGCAATCCTGCTGCTCAGCCTCCCGAGTAGCTGGGACTACAGGCATATCCCACCATGCCGCTAATTTTTTATATTATGTTATTGGCCAATAATTGTCTTGTCCTAATTTATTAGAACGGGTCTATCTCTTGCTCAGGCTGGTCTCGAACTCCTGCCGTCAAGCAATCCACCCACCTCGGCCCTCCCAGAGTGCTAGGATTACAGGGTGACCACCTGCGCCCGCGGCCAGCACTTATTTATTTTTCTACACCTCATATTTTACTCTTTTTGTAAGTGATTCTTTTTGACATTCTGTATTTACTCAAATTTTGGCAATCTTGCGACGTTTTTCTCAAAAAATCAATTTTCCGATTATATAAAATTGCTCAAAGTAGTCCAATTTTCTAAAAATTTCCTGGTTTCCTATTCCCCCTTGCATTTAAACTTTTGTATGTGTGCTTCTTCTTTTCTTAATAGGTTAGCTGGTGGTTTGTCTATCTTCGACTGAGCTTCCTCCTACCTATATCATTGTGAAAAACAAGGCACTGATTATGATACATTGATACATTTATGCAATACTATGCAACTGTCGAAGTATGGATATTGAAAGACATTCATAAAATTTTGTTGAATAAAAAATTTACATTACAGAATATATAGTATATCCGATCTTTACACACGTATACATATATACATACGTCTATGTGCATTTGTGTAAGTATTTATATCATATTGGTATAAGTAATGCTGAAATACATTTAAAGAATACGTATTCTTTACATAGAGTATACATATTCTCTACTTTTACATATACACATAGAGATTAAAGGTTGGAAGGATTTATGCAACAGTGGTGGTTATCTGTAGAAAGGGAGGTAGGGGTGGGGAAAGGACTATCACTTTTTTCTTTTTTAAATTATAAAAATAAACATCCCTTGCAAGAGGAAAGGTTCAAAGTGAATGAAGCTATATATCCTTCAAAAATACATAAATAGCTGAATCAAGCACTAATAGTCCCCACAGAACTTATTTAAAAGTTTATCTCACTAATTTGAGATGCCACCTTTATTGTGCCACCTTTATTCTAATATGCCACTCAATCTATTGCCACCTTTATTCTAATATGCCACTCATTCTAATATGCCACTATTCTAAGATGCCACCTTTATTCTAATATGCCACTCAATCTACTTCTGGAACTTCTGTTCCATTGGACTGCCTATTTATGTGCCAATACCAAGCTTTCCACTCATTCAACATTAAGAACATGCTTCAATATCCGTACTTTAACAGTTGCATAGCATTACACTGCATAAATGTATCATAATCCGTGACTTTTCCCAATTTCAAAAATATTGCTGTAAGATCCTTGAAAAGATATCATTGCCTATTTGCGTGTGTCAAGCCAAATTTATAGGTATGGAATTGCTGGGGCAAAAAGCATGTACCCTTTTAAATTCTGACAGCTTTTGCCATGGGAGGTTTAGTGTTTTAATGTCTGGTAGGGCTGTCCACTCTCATTCTTTTTCAGGTTTCATGGTTATTCTAGTATGTTCTCTCAAATGAAAACATGGTAATTTTTAGTGGGATGATGTTAAATTTATAAATTGTAACATAAGGGGAAAGACATGTTTTGATGTTGAATCTTCCTATGTAAGAATATGGTGTATCTTCATTTGTTTGAGTACAAATTTTTGTCTTTCAAGAGCTTTATTCTTTTTTTAAAAAAAAGTTTTTTTCATACAGGGTTTTTTTTTTTTTTTGAGACAGAGTCTCACTTTGCCCAGGCTAGAGTGAGTGCCATGGCATCAGCCTAGCTCACAGCAACCTCAAACTCCTGGGCTCAAGCAATCCTTCTGCTTCAGCCTCCCGAGTAGCTGGGACTACAGGCATGTGCCACCATGCTCGGCTAATTTTTTCTATATATATGTTAGTTGGCCAATTAATTTCTTTCTATTTATAGTAGAGACGGGGTCTTGCTCTTGCTCAGGCTGGTCTCGAACTCCTGACCTCGAGCAATCTGCCCACCTCGGCCTCCCAGAGTGCTAGGATTACAGGGGTGAGCCACTGCACCCGGCCAGTACTTATTTATTTTTTACACTCATATTTTATTTTGTAAGGATTACTTTTTTGACTTTCTGTATTTACTAAATTTTGGCAATCTGCATTTTTCTCAAAAAAGTCAATTTTCTGATTATATAAAATTGCTCAAAGTAGTCAATTTTTAAAAATTTCTGGTTTCCTTATTTCCCCCTTGTCATTTAAACTTTTGTATGTGTGCTTCCTTTTCTTAAATAGGTTAGCTGGTGGTTTGTCTATCTCACTGAGCTTCCTATACCTCCCACCACCAACTTTGCCAAAGCATCAACTTTTGGATTTATTTATTGGCTGTATAATATTTTGGTTTTCTACTGGTAATTACTTTTTGCTTTTATCTTTACTAAATCATTCCTTCTGCTTTCTTTTGATTTGCTTTTTACTCCAGTTTTTAAGACTTGGTCATTTATTTTCATCTTTCCCTACTTTTACTGATATAGTACTAAATACATTTCCTGTCATAATTGTTTTTTCATTTTTTTGGAAATATTAGGTTTTCATCTGTCTTGGGTCATGTCTCTCTGTTGTGCTTTCATTGTGGGGATGTTGATTTGCTTATTCTCTTACTTCTTATACTAACTTTGAATGGAATTTGACTGTAATCCTGGCTCAGTTGCTTTTTTCACCTTAAGTGAAATGAGTTTGCCTATACTTTTATGAGGGAGGGGTGGCTGGTGGATGACTTTTCTAGCTTCATGTCCCTAAAGCTCCCTTTTCTTTTTCACAGTCATTTCAGATGTGTGTGTGATATACACACACACATAATGTCTATGTATATTGGTCTTTCTTACCAACATTTATCTGGACTTTTCTTTTGTCCTATCATACCCATCCTGCCCAATGTGGATTCTAATTCTAGCAGTTTCTCCTTAGCGCTAGGCTTTGTCTCATTAGCTTTAAGAGGTATACAGTGTAAGGCCCATCTGCTATAGCACAATCATCAGACCATATCATATTGTTTTGATTCTGTAGAACTTTTCCCAGTTACAGCTTCTGTCCTCAGGCTGGCCCACTGCACTGAAGTAGTGAGAAACTGTGGGCAGTGTTACAGTTCTCCAATTTGCAGGATTGTCACAAACCAGCTGCTTTCCTTCCACTTCTTCCCACACAGATGCTGAAACTATGTGGGTCAGTGGTTTGCTCTCACTTGTATTTTGAGGTTCATGGAGATACCCTGTCTTCTAGTTCTGCAGATAGTGTCTGTGGCTATCCTAGTTGCTCTGTATTCTTATGGGGAGATTCAAAAACTACACTGCTGTCATCACCTTCCCTGAGTTTAATCTCTGTTAAGAACTCTTTCTAGTGTAGAAAATAGGTTAATTACAATAACAATTTTATGATTATAACAGAAACTATAATTAGGAATTTGCTGTATTTCAGGCACTATGTTAAGTGCTTTATACGTATTATCTCATTTAATTCTCAACCCCAGGAGGAAACCTAATTGCCTCATTTTACCAATGGGAGAGTTAGAATCCAAGATCACACTGCTGAATGGGCAGATCTGGTATTTAAACCCAGGTCATCTGATTCCAGAGCATCTGTTCATTAACTGCATCTTAAATATTATCAGGTCTAACAGCTTTTAAACTATGTATCACTGTCAGCAAAATTTCTATTTGAATTTAGATTAAATAGTTATAAATAACCATTTAAAGAGCTAATAAAAACATATATACTATAGGCCAAATCTAAAAACACTGTTGATGAATAATTGGTTAAATCATGCTGTATGACCTGATTAACCTTGTTTTTATGCAGATACTCAAAACGAAGCTGTTCCTATCTCCTAAAAATACTATGGGGGGGGGGGGAGTCAGGGAAAATATGAGACAGTAGAAAATAGATTTGAGATTTTGGACTTCGTATTTCCTTTCTCATTATATCACTACTGGTAAGGAACAAAATATATATGTGAAATATTGCTTATAATTTACTTTATTAATAAATACTTTTTTGTAAGTAACTATTTAGAAAAGTTAGGAATAGTGTCTCCATAATTTACAACAGCCTACTATTTTTTGGTCAATATCTTCTTGTGGAACATAGACATTTGCTGGTCCACAAAGTTTCACAAGAAAGTCTCCCACAAGTATATCAATTGGAATCATACTATCATACTATAATTTATATTCTCATGCTATTATTTAATGAGTTAGAAAATATTTATGAAATAGTTTTTGATAGAAATTCTTCTCTTTCATCTCTGAATATAGTCATTACTACTACTTTTCTTACCTTCTAACCATTGATGGTGATTTAGGAAAAACAACTTGGGCTTTTTAGAAAGTCCTAAAGCCATTACATATAAACTATTTTAACTCCCAATGTCTAAAAGATGACTTAGTTTGAGATATGGATGTCTTAATTTGTCACCATTTAAATAGAAGCAACCGGAATAACTCATAGAAGGGTAACATCTGTTGTTAAGCTTATTTTCCACCCCACCATCAGATGATTTATTTTATTTCTAATTAAAAAAAATACAGTTGACTTTGGCAAACTCAGGTTTAAAACTAAGTATGCCAATAATAAATGAATCGTTTTTCCAAGTACGTAGGGTTTCCTATGGGAAAAACTGTTATTTTACAATAATTTTCCTAATTTAGGAAAGGAAAATAAATTTAAAATATTACAATACCTAAATAGTACTAGTAATTTAGTTTTTATACTGATGCTTGTAGAATTCAACATTTACTACCACCAAGACTAACTGAAACCCAACTCCTTTAGTGAGATTTTTCTCTATTCTAGCACTAGACTCTTACCTATGAATGTCATTGAGCAGGTGATAGATGTGATTTATTGATAAATTGATTACAAATGAAGAGTTTTGACACTATCTCCTTTATAATTAGCTAGTTCATAGACTTAAGGAAAAAAAAATGAACAAAAACAAAACACCAGTTTTTACCCTCTAAATGGTTACATTTCCCTCCCACTTACCTAAAAATATAAAAATATAAATGACCATATATAGAGTTGAAACACTGAGTTTACTTGAGTGGTTCTACTTTTGTATTTAATTTTTTACTTATTTAATTTGAAAAAACTTACAAAATTATTAGTTTGAAATTAGAGCAGCTATAGGGTTGAGGGCAACAAACTAAAAAAAGAAAAAATCCAAATGGCTAAAAATAACTCAGTTATGAAAGAACAATTTATAATACCATGTATCCCAGAAAAATAAAAACACTAAATATCTTTTCTTCTAGATAAGATTGTTTTCTTCTCAGAAAGCAAAAGAGAAAAAGAAAATAAAGGGCAACTAATGATTTGAAATTAAAATCAAACATAACTGGTATTCACCACAGCAATGTCTAGATAAATGACCCACACAGCATAAAACTTGCTCATTCACAATCACATACAGTTAAATGACCTTTCCCTCATAATAGTCCTCTTAAAACAATCTCCCTTTAAAAAAACTATCATATTAGTTAAGCCTATTTATTCCTATTATGAAGTTAATTCATTTATATAGGCCACACAAGTTTAATTGGCACATTTTACTTAATAAGACAAAATAATTCACTTTTTAAAAAAAATTATGGGATCTGTTTCTAAAGAATGATCCTAGATACTTAATTCATTAAAGCAAATTTTCTACCACCAGCTGTCAAGCTTTTTAAATGATCACTAAGTGTTCACCTGAAAATTATCAATGCTATATGAAGTGTAAACTTGTTTTTAAGATTTGTGTCCATTTTATAAGAAGATACAATTTGTACTGAAGAGTTTTTAAAAAGATAACCTACATACATACAGTTAATTTGCCTCAAAGAACTTCTTAGAAATACAGTATAAACATTTAAGAACCATTACAGAGTCATGGTTCAAACTTCAACAAAGATTTTCTTGAAACCCAGTAAAAAAGTTACTGGCTCAAGACTATATCCCAAAGTGACATCAGTACAAGATTTGATTGTAAGACTCTACCTCTTAAAAAAAGAGCACACGGTGGTTATACATGGCTTTTAACCTGGAGCTACAGTTACGCTACAAATCCCCCCACCCTCCCAATCTGAAGTCAGTCATGTGGAGATATGTACATTCTCTGAGCACTGTTTAGAGTCCTTGGTTTTCCAGCTTTGATGGAGATTTAGAAGGCGTTCTGAAGTCCGTGTGCTTACATTCAGAGCAGGATGAACTTTACAAATTCCACTTTCCTCCATTAGTGACAGGCCACAGATCCCAAAGTATGCATGCAAAGCATCTGAAATGAGGCATTAAAAAAAAATCGCTAATAGGCATTCTTATACATGTATAAAATATTTTAGCTACACATCTAATAGTCTATCATTACATTAAAAATAAACTTAGAAAAATGCTAAATATGGTTTTTGAAATATTTGTTTTCTAAAAGTTTCAAATAGTAATTTTAAAAAAATCAGATGATCAAAATAAAATCTTTTATTCATGAAAATAGTATTAAAGGAACACATTTCCCAGTTGAAGAGAGGACTCTGCCAATAAATTCTGTGATTTAAGGACAGGGAGAAAGAGTAGTAGTAATATAAATGACTTTTCTTTTTAGTGAGTTTTCCCTTTTGCTTACTATAGAAAATGGAAACAAACAGCTTTAACTCTATATCATTAAAGAAAAATATTTTCTTAAAAATGAAAACAAAACTCTGAATCTAAGTAGCAATACTCTTCTTCCCCCAAGTTTTACCTCTGACAGTTCCTAAACCATATATAGTACTATCCTAACATTGTGTTAAATGAAAGGAGCCTAAACAAAAATAATCCATTCTGGAATGCTGTACCATATTTAATTCTCCTATTTAGGGTAATGTCAGTCATTCTAAAAATATCTATCTGGAAATAAAAACAAACTCACATTCTGATTGGTTATAATAATACATGAATGCTCATATCGTAACACTTCTGCACTGGTCTCATTAGTTTCCCATATTTCAGGGGGCAGGAACCCTCTGCTATTAAAGTGGCCACTGAAATCACATGGCCATTGCCTGCCTGAGAGACTTATATGGACTTCTGAAGAGCTCAGAGCTATGTAGTTATAGGAACACTACAAAAAGTTTTACAGCAGTCAAGAACTTTTTCTATTTTTGAACTGGCTAATATTTATGGCCTCTAGAGCTTTTAAAGTTCAAAACATCTTACCAAGTCAAATGTTGTCAAAAGAGTTAAAGAAAAAGTTTTATTTACATACGTATCATTTACTTTTCCAAAAAGAAATGACAAATAGTTGTGTTATTTTTGATAAAGTTATTTCACTAATGGAGGCCCTTGTTTACCCCCTTTTAGGCCTTTTCAGAAAATGCTTAGATTTCTTCTGGCTCACTTTCCTCTAATTTACACACTACAAAAAATGAACGCGATTTCCCCTGTACTATTACATCATTCCATATAGTTATTCTAAAATTACAAATAGCACAAAGCAACATTAAGCTTTATTTTCTAAAAACTAGGAAACTTTTCTAGAAAAAAATGCAACATAAAGAAATATAATATACAGCTATAATAACAAAATAGAAACTGTGTAAGATTAAAATCTCTCTGGATAAAGTAAAAATAAAACTTATTTTTTTCTCTAAAGGAATTTTGGAAAAGCCAGTGACATTAGAACTAAATTGTTTCAAACCTCAAATAGTTAAAACAAAACCACCCACCCCCCAAGAAAACCTCTTCATCTGTAGGTGGTATATATTCAAGTACTTTAGATGTTGAAATATATTTTTAGTTCATAATAAAACATCATTCGTTTGAAGTTTCTTTCATAAATGTATATAAAATCTCTGTGTCATATCTACTACTAGATTTACTAAAACTACGAATAAGCCCATTTTAAAGAATCTCCTTAAAATGACTTTTCTAAAGGCTCTGGGAACAGGTCTGTCCACATAAATTGAGTTTATCACACAAAAACTTTCTGTGCTTTTTGGTGTGTAGGCTCTGAAAAACATTTCAATGTATCCATGAAAAGTCAGTATTACATCCCAATATTTACACAAATGTTAAAGTTAGCCACTGATCTCCCTAGCAAAAAGCTTTAAGAATTTTCTCTCAAAAACTACTGGACTAAGTTTTTTAATATAAATGAAATAAATTCATTTTTTTTTCTTTGAAAGCAACTCTTACAAAAAATTTAAGTGTAATTAAGTTTAAAGGTATCTCAAATAGATGTGATGATGATTAAAAATCAAAAAATTTTTAAGTATCAAGTTAAAAAGGATTTTTCTAAATAACAGTAGTTTGGATATAAAAAATTTCTGTCCAAAGTAATATTTCACTTTACATTTTCAAGAAGGTAGTGAGGAGTGTTGGTGGCTGAGGTCTCAAAAAGGAAATTTTTCTATCGCTGGTATCATGTCCTTATGGATGTAAACCTCAGCTACCTGGAATACCTATGGAATGTTTGGTTCTGGTTAACTAAAAATTAATCAGCAAACATTCTGTAGTAACCATTATAGAAAACACTCTGCCCTTAAAAAGTTTGGTATGCCAGAGACAAATTAGCGTTTCTTGACATTTGAGGAATTTCAAATGCCTCACATGTGTTGTACTGAACAATGACTGTAACTGGATATAGACACAGAAGGGACAAGAAATGGAACTATTTACTAACATTGGGACATCCTCTGGAATTAAAAAAAAAAAAAGATACATTATTCTTTTTAAAAAAGCTACTGCAAATAATGTATTTCAAGTAAGTTTATATAAGAAATGCTTTTTAAGATTTCCTATCTTCCTATTCTCATCACTTGTTAAAATAGTGATTAAAAAAATGGCATCTTGAAAAAAATAATTGTTTTTTTGAGGCATTTTTCTATTATATTTATAGCTATGTGTTACAGGTACCAAGAATTTCAAAATATGATTTGCTTTAGAAATTAGTTTGTGAAAACATAATTTGGCTTATGACTCTGAAAGCATTGAACTTTTTTTTTCCCTAAGGAAGTTTTACATGAAAATACAGGCAAATATGAATGTGAAAAAATATTTCTCTTCATTTCAGGTACAAAAATATGATTTCATGAGCCCCTTGTTTATATTTTGATTCAAGTACACATCCAACCATAGCAGTTCTATGATGGGAGACAAATTGAAGAGGTACTTTCTAGATTGATAATAAAAGCCATGATTCTATTGCAATGCTGCATAATCAATCCTTGCATCTAGTTTCATATATGGATAGCTAATTCCTTGATAACTGCTTATCAAAAATATCAGTGTTCTGAATTATTTTAACAAACTTTCATACTGATTTTTATGGGGAAACTGTAAATGCTCATTTTGCTGAAGGTGAAAATATAAGAGGGGGTGCCGTAGACTGGAGAATGATGCTAGAGATGGGAGAAGAGCCAAATTTGGGGGAGAACCTTGAGTGTCATGCCATTCATATTATATGAATCTCGTCAGTTACTGATTTTTAGATAGTGCATGGTGAGAGTTCAAACAGCAAGGCAGTCATATAAAAAAGTTACCTGAATCTGCTGAAATTTAGAGAACAAGAGTATGGGCAGTGAGAAACACCTCTATTCATGATTTGAGATTTTTATTTAATGACTTCTGAAAATAATAAACTGGTTCCCTTTGGGGTTGAGAGTAATTTAGACTACTTAGTTCAAGTCAGTTAATAATCCTAATGATTTTGGATGGGCCAAATAATTCCCTATTTTGGAAAGGGCTCACTCAGACCATTTGCCTTATTGCTACAAATGAAATAAAACACTGCTAAATGAAATATTTGGGAAAATATATACACTATACCAATACATCTTGATAAACAACTCTTTCTTTTATATCCTCTAACACTCTAAATCTATCTTAAGCTTAAACAATCTACTTTTTAAAACACATATTATTTAATGTAACTTTACAATTGTGGCTGTATCTTCTATCATGTGACTTTTCTAATAAAGATGCTTGAAGAAATAAAAGTTGTTCTAGGTTCATACAGAAAATAATTACCTGGATGACTATCTGGCCATTTGGCAAATCCCCCTACGAGGCGATCTTGAGTTGATAAGATGTAATTTCTATTTTTCTCAAAGTTAGTATATTGGAAAATTTTCAGAAGCTGAAATGACATGACAAAAATTTACTGACATATAACTTGCATATTGACTTTTGGCTCAAATTTCAGATATATATCATTTAGATATGCTTTTTCCTAGCCAAGGTGCTCAGAGCCAGTCTTTGGGGACTTCAGCACTTACACGTCAACCACATTATCTTTTTTTATCTTGTCGTCAAATCTGTTTTGTTTGTTTGTTTTGAGACAGGGTCTTACTCTGTCTCCCGGGGTAGAGTGCTGTGGCATCAGCGTAGCTCACAGCAACCTCAAACTCCTGGGTTCAAGCAATCCTCCTGCCTCAGCCTCCTGAGTAGCTGGGACTATAGGCACCCACCACCACGTCTGACTAATTTTTCTATTTTTCGTAGAGACCAGGGTCTCATTCTTGCTCAGGCTGGTCTTGAACTCCTAACCTCAAGTGATCATACCATTTAGGCCTCCCAGGGTGCTGGGATTACAAGAGTGAGTCACCTGTGCCCAGCCTGTCTTCTTATCAAATCTACTCTCCTTTTCTTGACCCATTAACTATTTCTTTCTTCTGAACCAGGCCCCATCTAAACTCTCTGCATCACATTAAGCTAGATTCAAAAGACAATTTCTCCAATTTACTCAGTCATTTCAAAAAATTGCAATTTTATCTACCCATATTTTAACTCTTATTATAAGCTCTTGAGCTATTAGTTACACACTGGTAATAACTTAAACTAAAAATATTTCAAAAAAGCACAAAAAAATTATTAACCAAATGCTAAAGACAGTTTTGTTTGAGAATAGTAAAAAAATATAGCTTTTAAATCAGGTAAGACAAATATGATTACAACATAAAAAACTCATTTGTCTTTTCTCTCAAAATTTCATTAAAAAGAAAAAAATTAAAAATAGATGAATAAATCAAACTGTGAAGAGAACAAGGGGGGGATGAGCAGTAGTTAAGAGGGTTCAAGAAATGTCTGAGGATACAAAGCAGTTTAAAGTGTGTTAATGAATTAAAGAGAGCCACAGAAGATATTAGTGATTAATGAAGAAGCATTATTTCTCTAAAAAAAAAAAAAAGCTAAACCTGTAAGAAAGTTATGGTACAAATAATAAATAAACTTATTTATTTTGATTTAATTAACAGAATATAAGGAACGAGACTCTTTAGAATCTTTTTTTTTTTTTGAGACAGAGTCTCACTCTAGTGCCATGGGGTCAGCCTAGCTCACAGCAGCCTCAAACTCCTGGGCTCAACTGATCCTCCTGCCTCAGCCTCCTGAGTAGCTGGGACTACAGGCATGTGCCACCATGTCCGGGTAATTTTTTCTATATATTTTAGTTGGATAATTAATTTCTTTCTATTTTTAGTAGAGACGGGGTCTCACTCTTGCTCAGGCTGGTTTCGAACTCCTGCCCTTGAACGATCCTCCCACCTCAGCCTCCCATAGTCGTTGCCTTCCAAAAGCTGTCATAGACTACCAAGGTCATAGCAAAAAGACTCAAAAACCAACTTAAAGGGGCTTCTACTGGCTAAAGATGGTACAATTTGAGCATTAAAAATAAAAATTTAATGGACTAAAACATATAAAATGTTAAAATCTATGAGTTCACAATAATTCTCAAACAACAATAACAAAAAACCCCATAAAGCCTAACATTTCATTGAAAAACTTGAGGGGATGCTAGGGAACCAACTCATTTTGTTGAACACTATTAAAATTAAGAGAAAGAATTAAGCATTTATCTGACCTTCTCGGTACAAACAATACCTTAGAGTAAGGCAAAATTCTTCTTTATATAAAAATGCTATCAAATTAATTCAGAAGGAATGACAGAATACCACCATTTGCAACTCATTAATGACAATTGGTTTAGACAATGATAGTTAATGGCTGCTAAAACCATTCCATAAAAAGTTGCTGGGGTTTCTATACACTAGCAATTAATAATACAAAAGAAGATTAAGAAAGCAATTCCATTTCTAATACCACCTAAAGAATTAATACTTAAGAAATAAATCTTACCAAGGGGGTGAAAGACATGCTGAAAACTACAAAATATTGCTGAAAGAAATTAAAGACCACCTATAAAATTGGAAACACATCCTGTGCTCATGGATAGGAAGACTTAACATTGTCAAGGTTTCAATAATACCCAAAGCGACTTAATGTAATCCCTATCAAAATTCCAATAGCCTTTTTTGCAGAAATAGGAAGGCCAATCATCAGATTCATATGAAATTGCAAGGGGCCCCAAATAGCCAAAACTATCTTACAAAAGAATAAAGTCGGAGGTCTCACAGTTCCTGTCTTTGAAACTTACTACAAAGCTGCAGTAATTAAAGCAGTATGGTACTGGCACTAGGACAGATGTGAAATATAAAAATTATGCTAAAAAGTTTTAGTCTTTAGTCAGCTCTACATGAACTACTGCTCAGTATCGGTAACAAGTTTTTTTATGACCATATACTTACAAGAAAGTAGATATATCTAGTTATATGTAAGTATAAAACTCAAATTTTGGGTCACTTGAGTTTTATAAGAATGGAAACTTTCAAATAGCACAAGAGATAATTTAATATTATGGAAAAACCATACAGACTTGCTTTGGTGGAGTAACAGAAAAAACTCTGTAGCCTAAACCTAACAATATTTAATGTATATTATGAAGACTAAAACTTTTTAGCATAATTTATATTAACATAGAATACAGGTTTCTCATCTTTAATATTTCTCTTACCTTTAGAGTTGCTCCCACCCAAAAAGAATAACAGGTGTCTACAGGCTTATTAGGTCTTCCATGATAACCATTTTGTTGCCTCATTATACACCACCTCTTTATCCTGTTCAATTCTTTTTCTGAAAAAACTTCTTCTAGTTTACCCATCAGACATAGTGATGCAATGCCACAAAAAGTAGATCCTCCTGTTAATTAAAACCACATAATGCTTTAAACTTCAAATTTGATGCCGATGAAAATGGTACAAAATAGTTGAGGAAAAAAGTGGTTAAATAATTCTAGAAAATAATGAAATAAAATTAAAATTTAAAAGACAACTGTAATTTAAAAATAACCACTAAGCACAAGTCTTCAATATCAATTTGACAAAATAGAATTTAAAATAATTTAAATACGTAAGAAACATTTTACTTTAAAAAACAAAGAAAGACATAGAACAAGATTAAGGAATTTATTCAAAATTACATGGTTAATGATACATTTGGGACTAAAATATAGGACTACTAACTCTCTGTCCAGGACTCAATTATCTGAGTCTGGTTTTAAGTCCCTTAAAGACAGCATGTTGCTTATAAATTGAGGTCCCATCTTCCTGAAGCTATGAACAAATGTTCTCATATATAACACAAACAAGTAAGAAGCTGATATGCAGATCAGCTTAAGATTTTTGTTTGTTTGTTTGTTTGTTTTCAGCTTAAGAATTTAAAGGAATAAAAGTATGAGGGTGTGGGGAGGAGACAGAGGAAGAGGGAAAGAAAATATTAAAGTAGATGCACAATATGACTTTAAAATGTATCCAGCTGTGGTAAGCTGAATAATGCCTTCCCCAAATCTCCAAATCCTAATTACTGGAACCTATAAATGTTACTTTAAATGGAGAATGTAGCTTTGTAAATGTGATTAAGTTAAATGATTTTGTGGGCCCTAAGTGTATTCACAAGTGTCATTTTAAGAAGGCAGAAGGAGGTAAGACTAAAAGAGAGGATGAGGCAATATAATATAACTATGGAGGCAGAGATTAGGAGTGTTGTGGCCAAAGGCAGGGAATGCCAGTAGTTAGTAGAAGCTGGAAGAAACAAGGAACTATTTCTCCCTTGAGCCTTTGTTGGCAAGGAACCAGTCCTGCTGATACCTTGATTTTAGCCCTGTAAGTCTCACTTCAGACTTACAGTTCTGGTCTCCAGACTGTAAAGAGAATAAATGCATTGTTTTATACTCATAAATTTGTAGTAAAACATTACAGCAGCAATAGGAAACTGAAACACTCACAAAAGTAAGTACTTTAATCAGTAAACTAAAAAGTCAGCATTTTTCCATATAAGAAAAGAAACACTTTCCACTGACACTATTTGTTGTCAACTTAAACAATTTGAAAATACTTGGATTTCCAATTATAACTTTACATAATGATTTTTATTAATTCCAGCAGTGTAAATGGCTTGTTCCTAATATTTCTTATGCCCTAACTTTTCTTTAGGTGCTATAAATCTTGAATGTATTCTCTGGCAAAGGAAGGGTGAGCATTCCCTCTAGAAAACTTAAGGCAGCTATCACATTAAAAGTGTTACTGTCACCAATAGCTATTAATCTTCAGAATTTTTTCCAATTAGTTGGGAGTTCTATGTTAGTCTCCAGTGAATTAAAACAGAAAAGTAAAAACAAACAAACAAAAAAACTATCAATCTTATTTCCATTTCAATGACTCACTAGTTTCAGTTTCTCTTTCATGAAAACCTGGCCATGACTTAAAGTATTATTGTATCACTAAATATAAAGCCTCTAATAGACAGTATATAATCTTTAAAACTACTGATTAGTAAAAAGAGACATTTAAGTATTACTCTTCAAACTATTTGTTAGGATTCTTTAAAGCAAACCGGCACAGTTCAAAGTAAAAGCAAGCTGGCACAGTTCAAAGTAAAAACATTCTTTTACTTTGTCCAAATCATCTGATTTTGAAAATAACTACAGAAGTAAGTCTGAGCTCTGAGTAACTAAAAACATTACAGAGTCTATGTTTAAAATTCATTTACCAACAACCTATTGCTCCTAGAGTTCTTTGTTTCACATAAAACTCTTAAAAAACTAATTTGAAAACCCATCTCTGCCAAAAAGAAAAAAAGAAGAGACATTGTATTTGAAATGTAGATTATTCATGACTTTAAAAGAGAAACTTCATAAGTTGCTGAAGGCTTACATAGAAAATTAAAGAACAAGCCATTTGTGAAGAAAGGTGAGCAGTATATTAGGACCACTTTTCCAAAAAGATTAATAAAAAGAGAAAGAGAACACAATGACTTGATAGGGTGGCCAAATTGCAGGACTACTTTTTAAGAAGAGGTTTCACTTGCTAGTGTAGATAGTGATGAGAGGGAGAAGAAAGGCTATTCTCAAGTCCTGTAGGGTATAATACTTCCTGGCCTACCTAACCTCATAGCACACTAAGAAACTTATAATATTTGATATTAGTAGGGCATAATGTGGTATATATTAAGAAGGTGCTTCTGTCCACAGGCAACATTACTGGGGGCTCCAGATACCCAAGTCCTGTTTGGTTGTTCCAAAGGCTGAGGGAACAATATTTTTGCATATCTATAACCTATTTGAGGCATACTAATACTGTGGCAATCTTAAAAAGCCCTCCTCTAGGGCTTTGGGCCTCAAAACCTACCATGCAAAATTAATTAATTAATTAATTTTTTTGAGACAGAGTCTCACTCTGTCGCCTGGGCTAGAGTGCCATGGTGTCAGCCTAGCTCACAGCAACCTCAAACTCCTGGGCTCAAGTGATCCTCCTGCTTCAGTCTCCCAAGTAGCTGGGACTCCAGGCACGTGCCACCATGCCCAGCTAATTTTTTCTTTATATATATATATTTTTAGTTGTCCAGATAATTTCTTTATATATTTTTTAGTAGTGACGGGGGTCTCACTCTTGTTCAGCCTGGTTTCAAACTCCTGACCTTAAGCAATCTACCCGCCTCGGCCTCCCAGAGTGTGAGGATTACAGGCATGAGCCACCGTGCCCGGCTCAAAATTTATAAATAAAAGAAAGATACAGGCTTTTGGGCATGAACTGCAGTTTATCACTTACGATCCTGATGGGTACAATCTACTCAAGTTGTACCAACTCAAAATCATGAGCTGCAAGACTCAGGAAGATTTTTTCCTTAGTAACATAATTGGGTAGTCCCTCTTGGTTTCATATCCCAGAGAACATAATCCCAATTTCCTGTCCCACAGGTCTTCCTGTGCAGGTGAGGTGAGGTGTCTCCTCAGCCAAAGTGTGTATTAATACCATCTACAATAGTGAGCACCAGAATCCTGTCTTCTCAGAAATTCTTACAGCTGCCAGATTTCCTCTTTGTACAACAACTATATCCTTCCTGATCATGTGGTCATGACCACTAACATAACTGCTACCGCCAGCTCCTCCCACCTCCAATTTCATATAGACTCAGGCACACACAAGAATTATGGTAACATAATTATAGTATGGCTTCAGTGGAAAACCCAAGACAGTCTTCTATATACCCATTAGAGACACACACTCTACAAATAATCTAAATTGAAGGAAGGAGTGAATATGCAAGAGAACAAGGAAATACTTGATAGGACAAAGTCCTAGGGGAAATACAAGGATATGGGGTCAAGGAATAAATGTTAAAAATATCTTTTTATACATGTTTTATAGTTTACAAACTACTTCCCCCCATATCTCTTCTAATCTTAGCAATAATCCTAAAGAAAGATGTAATTATTTCTGCTGTTGATGAGGAAAACCTCAGAGAGAGTAAGCAAAGTACCAAGGTAACACAGCTGATATCAGGGCTGAAACCTAAACACTTATCTGTTCTTTCTACTTTATTATACTAGCAATGGGTGGAGATAACAGATGATCACACAAAAAACTGCTGTGATGAAGGAGAAATTGAAGTTCACTCAGAGGGCCTCCCTGATTTGGGCTCTTTCTTTTTAGAAAAGGAGAATGGAAGCTTATTTACTTCTGAATGGAAATTTCAATTTGAGAGAGTTCAGACTGTTGATATGTTGACAAACTTAGTGACTATCATCATCTTACTCTTCTGGTTCTGCCCAAAGTGAGAAAAATGTGAAAGAAGAGACTGTATGAATGTTTGTACTGAACATATGCTAATGTTTTATGTTTTAAGACTATGACCAAGGATAATTATATTAAACAAGATAAATGAAAGTTTTCATTTCTTCATGAATTTATTGATTTATATTTAATATTCTGCCTCTATTTGGTCTAGCCTTTTAGTGTTATGCCAAAGAAGAAAACCTGTTGTTTTCTAATAATGGCTTAAGAAATAATCCCAAGATATTTTCATATAGATAACATTTGAATAAATTACTAGAAAATATTGTATGAACATTTTGTCCTAAATGATTTCTGAATAATTACTGACCTAAGAGGATTCAAATAGACAAAATGCTGTCAACAGAGAGAAACACGAAAGCAACAAGATAATGAGGATGCACCAACAATTGAAAAAAACTTCTGAGGTTCTTCATACTGAAAATACCAAGGTGTTGTTTAAAGGAACAAAAGAAACTATATGTTCATTTATTTTAAGATGTCTTACCATGAGATTCAAGTCCAGCTCCCTGTGCCAGCCCATTGTCATAGGACTGAAAAAGAAAAACACTGTTCAGTTTAATAGAAAGATAATAATGACAATAAATGAATACATTAGTTGCCACTGCACTAATTTTTTTCTTTTCTAATTTTACTTCTCCTTTATATCTTCCAAAATATGCACTTTTGCTCATGGAGAAGTAGAATTAGGTATTTTCAAGTACCTGCTCTTGTCTTACTCACCGAGTCAAATCACTAAGTGCATATACTAGGCAAATGATGAGAATAGATTATTCAAAGATGGTACCTACATATTCTGGTACCTAGATATTCAATTTCTACCTAAAAAAAGCTGACTCTTACACCTCTCTCTCCCATCCCAAGAATGTATGAATTGGAGGAAAATTTAAAGATTTTGCACTTACAGAACTTTACAAACATGAAACAAATCTATTAATATTTTGAGGCAGTTTAGGGTCACTGAGAATAATGGTAAATTATTAATTTGAAACTCCTCAAATATCCTGCAAAATGAAAGCAGAATAAGAATAAAATTAAATTTCCCCACATAGCCTCCAAAATCAAAATCAAAACACAGTAAGAACAAAACTTACAGAATGCAAACCTTAGCAACACAAGAAGACAAACTCAAGCTTCAGAATGTCTGTCTACAGAAAAAGAAACATCAAATCCCAGCAAGTCATCTCTCACATCTGTGACTATCTTTGCAGAGAGCAAGGGTGATTTGTGAAAAACTATAAGAGACAGAAGAGCTAATCTAGATTTTTAGATTGATCTAAAATCATTAAAATTTAGACTGGTCTAAAATCACTGCCTAAAAGAGAAAGTTCACCCTAAGTGTGAAAATACAGGCAGTCCTCATTTTGCAGTTCCAACATGCACAAATTCCAGTTACTATGGATTAAATAATAAAAATGGTTCAAATTTCAGTAACCATGGTATATTAACTATAATTGCATAAATTACAAAACTTGCTAGTTCTTCAATCCACAAATCACTACATAAATAACAGATGTGCATCACTATCAGTGACCAATCATATAACTTTTTGCAAAGTCTGTTAGTAGTTGGTCACTGCACATGTTATCAGTTCGAAGAGCAAGGGGGTGTGGTTGTATCGTCTCGCTGTCTCTCTGTGATAAATCCATATGACATTTTATAAAAAGGTATAACTAAAAGGGGGTACCAGCCACCAAAGATAAAAGTGCAGTAAAGAAATAAAAACTGTAACATTGGAAATGAAATTGAAATCAAACAGAGTTATAGAAGAAATATCTATCATGGGAATGTTGACAATGCTGTTGTTAGACTCTAGATATGCAGTAAAAAGAACTAAGTGAAGGTAAAATGAACAAAGGAAGGGGTTGTAATGAAAGAGATGAAGATGTGCTAGAGAACTGCTACTGACAGAAAAACTCACATAAAAGGAATTTTCAGATATATTTTACAACATTAAAAATACAAAGGATAAAATGCTGGAAGCTAATACAAATTTTGAAAGAGTATGATCATTTGCCAAGACACAGAAAAGATGCTCTCTCCACATCATAAATTATAAGATGAGAAGGCAAAGCATTGCATAAACAAATAAAACACTTTAATTCTCAATATTTCTAATGTTTTAAATAACAGTGTACTAAATATTGATTTTACTATTTAAAAAATTCTCTATACATTTACATCTGACAGAAAGAGTTTTTAAAGTTTTGGCAAAAAATTTTTAAATGTCACAGAGCAATCATAATTTTTCCCATTGATGACTAAAATCACTTTGCATCATTTGGGCTTGCATGGTTATCATTATGGTCAAGAACTACCGTGCAAAGTGAGGACAGCCTGTACTGAGGGAGCCCTGGTAAAACAGCACTGACTATAGAGAAAGAATTTAAAAGACTGCGCAAATGTCAAGTGGACAGCGCCCAAAGGGTATAACTTCTGGTGAAGGAAGGAAGAAAGATGGGCCCTTTGAAAAACAGGGAACAGTGGAAAACTCAAAAGAGCAAAATTTAGAGACCTGAGAAACAAGAGAGCCCCTCTCCTAGCAGAAAACCACACAACACACAACCATTCCTCACCACTAAAAAAGCCACTCGTTAATCATATTTTGTGGCATTGGAAAAATGGCACCTTTAAACTAGAAATGTTTATAAGAAAACAAAATCCATGAAATTAATAAACAAAAAGAGACAAACCTATATATAAAGTAACTTTGAGATGAAAACACTTCAAACAGAACGAAAGCACTTATGTATATGAAAATCTGTCCCCATCCTCCCCAAACAGGAAAAATCAGAAGAAAACTGTAATAAAGCACTCCAAACTCAGTTACATATACTCATACAAGCATATAGGAATATAAAAAGGAAATAAAAATAAATACAAATGAGCAAACAGTATAAAGGAAAAAATAATTTCAAAACAGATATGCGGGAAAAAAAGACAAAGTAATCTAAGAAACAAAGACTAAACTATAGGATGCCTAAGGAATAATAATCTCAAATGAAAATACTATATAAGGGACAATGAAGAAAACAGCCAAGAGACTAAAAATGAGATGAAATAAAAGAAGGTCAGAGAAAAAGTGATCACAAAATTGAACTGCTAAAAAAAGGAAACCCAAAATAGAATTAAGAGTCAGCAAACAATAGACCAAAGGCTGAATCTGGCCTGCAGCCTGGTTTTATATGGACCTTGAGTTAAGAAAATGGTAATCTCACTCATAATAAAAGAAATGTAAATTAAAAAGACACAGAAATATTATTTTTCAACCACCAGAAAAGTGGCAAAAATAGAAACAGCATAACATTCCATTAGCAAGGCTATATGGAAACAAGCACTCTCAAACAAACTGGTCTATCCTTTCTGGAGAGAAAATGAACAATATCTAATAAATTACACATGCATTTACCTTTCGATCAAGCAATTCCATTACCAGGAATTTACCCTGAAGATATACCTCTAACAATACATAAATATATATGCAGGTTAATTACAACATTGTTTATAATTGCAAAATATATGCTCTATAGATAGAATAGTTGAAAAAACTATGGCACCTCCATACAGTGGAGTAATATGAAACAGTAAAAAAGAGGAAAACTCTCTGAACTGATAAGGAGTGATTTTTCAAGCTGCATTGTTAAATGAAAAAAGCAAAATAGGCCGGGTGCGGTGGCTCACGCCTGTAATCCTAGCACTCTGGGAGGCTGAAGTGGGTGGATTGCTCGAGGTCAGGAGTTTGAAACCAGCCTGAGCAAGAGCAAGACCCTGTCTCTACTATAAATAGAAACAAATTAATTGGTCAACTAATATATTTAGAAAAAATTAGCCGGGCATGGTGGCGAATGCCTGTAGTCCCATCTACTCGGAAGGCTGAGGCAGCAGAATTGCTTGAACCCAGCAGTTTGAGGTTGCTGTGAGCTAGGCTGATGCCATGGCACTCACTCTAGCCTGGGCAACAAAGCGAGGCTCTGTCTCAAAAAAATAAAACAGAAAAGCAAAAAGCAAAAAAAAAAAAAAAAAAAAAAAAAGTGTGGTATTCTCATTAAAAAGAAATATAGGAAAGATAAACCAAATAATGAGAAAAGTCACTTACAGAGTGAATGGGAACAAGATGGTAAGCATGGGGGTTCGGAAAGGGGTGGAAAACAGAAAGAGGGAGTCACACTTTTTTTTTTTTTTTTAAGACAGTGTCTCTATCACCTGGGCTGGAGTGGTGTCATCATAGCTCACTGCAACCTCAAACTTCTGGGCTCTAGTAATCCTCCTGCCTTAGCCTCCTGAGTAGCTGGTACTACAGGCAAATGCCACCACACCCAGCTAATTTTTACATTTTTTGTAGAGACGGGGTCTTGCTCTTGCTCAGGCTGGTCTGGAACTCCTGGCCTCAAGCAATCCTCCAACCTTGGCCTCCCAAAGTGATAGGATTATAAGTGTAAGCCACTGCAGGAATATATCTTTTTGTATACTTTTGATGTTCAGAACCAAGTTAATGCTTCACATATTAAGTAAATAAATCAAATTAACAAAGTTGGGGGGGGGTGCCTAAATGGGGGAATCCAAACAGAAACAAGTAACCTAACTGTACTTCAAATAAATAATATAACCCTATTAAAGGGGGAAAATATACCATATTAAAGGGGGAAATAAAAGAAGTAAACCAAGTGCTTCTTAAATATATTAATTCTGACTATATCTCCAAAGACTCAAAACAAAAAGAACCAATATAAGAGCAGCCAGGTTTGTCACTATCAGAGAATGGATTGACAAATGAAAGGAGGAAAGTTAAAATGAACCCGGCAGTGTTAAACTGAAATTTGAGGTATCAGTATGGACTCACAGTTTTTGTTATATAATAATACATACAAAGATAAACAGATACAGAAATATAGATTTTGTGTGTGTCTGTGTAAGGGGGGATGCCTATGTATACATACATATATATATATATATTTCCTAGAGTTGCCAGCTGAGAGAGGGCCAGAAGTAATGACATCCCAATACCAATAAACACACCTAGTACCCCAGGTCCTAGTTTCTAAAAACCATCATCCTCCAATAAGAATAACAATGGCTTCACAAAGACATGACTGATTCCAGGGTTGAAGATGGGAAAGTACAAGATAAACTTGGAATATCTTCTGCCACAAAACAGGGAAGTCTTCAAAGAATGAAGGGAACATGTCAAAAGGGCACAGAGCCTCCTCAAAGGGGTTCTCACTGGCCGAATCTGGGACATAAAAAAAATGATGATAGTAATGGATTATAACCCATTGAATGAAATAAAAATCTGGAGTCCATAGTGATATAAATAAATAAGTAAATAAATGAATGAATGGAGGCAGAGAGAAAGCTTTTTCTAACAGAATTTTGATATTTATTTGAGGGATGCTAGAGCTAAAAAATCATTAATGTATACTAACAACACTAGTGGATAAACATTTGATGATTGACAGAATATTTACATGGTTTCCAGACATATCACTATGAGATACTGAATAATTATGAAGGGGAGAATGCTAACTTTAGAGAAAACTCTGACTTACACCACCTTAACCAAGTGAGCAGAAATAGAGCAAATCAATATGCTGTACTTCCACATACAATGCACTGAGAAGACAGTATCACTTCTGCACTATTCATGCCCAAAACACATACCACCACCCTAACATAAATCTCTTTTCCTCTTAAAACTCCTTTAAGGATCTCATTTTTCTTGTATCCATGGGCTTTTTAAAATTTATGCTATTATAGATTCTACAAAATCTGATCCACAGTGATACATTCAGTTAATATGAACAACTCCATTTCTCTAAGAACTTAAGAGAAATTTTCATTTTGAAATGAAAAGTTGATTTAACAGGTTAAAATATTCTAATCTATAAAATGAAAAACTTCATATTTGGGAAATAATAAACTGGGAAAGTAGCACCTCTATTTTTCCTGTTTTATACAGAGATGAAACAGTATAACAATGGAAAATTCTGGCTGATACTAAGCTTTCCTTACTACTGCCAATAAAAAGATTATAGAACCAATCTCATCAAAGATACCATAATTTTCCAGTTTATTTGAATAGGACTCTTCACTAATTCCTTAGGATAGGCTCTCAACACTTGCCTTTCAGATTTTACTTCTTTTTTTTCTTCGAAGGCTGACCAATCCCTTTCTGATAAAGACATTGCTTCTTTAGATCAAATCAGATACATTTAAACTTTAATGGCCAAGGAATCAATCTACCCTTTAAGATTATGTGGTGTGTTGATACATGATTTACCTAAAAATCAATCTTATTGTCCTTATTTACAAATTCTCGGTGGAAGAGATGAAGCATACACTATACCAGGGGTCCCCAACCTATGATGACTTATATAATTGTTTCATTGTATCGTACAATGTAATAATAATAGAAATAAAGTATACAATAAATGTAATGTGCTTGAATCTTCCTGAAACCACTCACTCCCCAATCTGGAAAAAACTGTCTTCCATGAAAACAGTCCCTGGTATTAAAAAGGTTGGGGACCAATGCATTATACTATAGCCCTCATATACAAGCAATAACAACATAAATAGTCAATTTTTATCAACGTAACTCACCATACTTCTTCTAATATAGCTGATGGCTTTTTTCATATCCATGCCTGACCAGTTGTTGAGCATATAGCAAATACAGGAAGCACAGTACACAAATCTCATGTCATTTTCACTGCCTTCAGGTACTGCACAAAAACTGAAAATAATAATAGGATTTTCTATTAACACTGGACTATAATTTTTTTGCAGGGGGCAGGGTTAGAAAGACCTCTTTTGTATCTTTACTCACAAAAAAATCTATAACTTCTTTTAAAACTATATTCTATTTAGATTAGTCAATAAAGAATAGGATTATTAACTTGAATAATATAAAACTATCTCTAAATCATCACTCTACTCCAAACTTCGGATTCCTGGGTAGTTTTACACATTACCATGTTACTCCTACCCAGATGCTACCACTCAGAGTGAGCTTATTTGCTTCCAGCCAGGGACAGCTGTGGTACATTGACTTGAGAATTAATGACAGAGAAAGTATAGTTCAGTGCAAAAGTAATTGCGGTTTTGGACCATGAATTTCAAATCATTATAACTAGGCTCAAACACATCTTTATTAATCAAAATAGCAACCATTAAAATCAACACATTTTTGCCAAAGAGAAATAAGTCTGTTTATTCCTGTAGTGTAAAAATCCATGCTTTGGGATTCAATGAACTCCTGGAAAGCATTTTCTGCATACTGCTGGTTGTGGGAGTGTTTCCTCTGCAAAAGTGGAAATGCTTAAAGAAGTGGTAGTCACCTGGCAAGAGGTCAGGTGAATATGGTGGATGAGGCAAAACTTCGTAGCCCAATTCATTCAACTTTTGAAGCATTGGTTGTGCGACGTGTAGTCTGGTGTTGTCGTGGAGAAGAATTGGGCCCTTTCTGTTGACTGTGGGCTGCAGGCATTGCAGTTTTCGGTGTATCTCATTGATTTGCTGAGCATACTTTTCACATGTAATGGTTTTGCTGGGATTCAGAAAGCTGTAGTAGATCAGACTGGCATCAGATCACCAGTGACCATGACCTTTTTTCATGCAAGTCTGGCTTTGGGAAGTGCTTTGGATCTTCTTCTTGGTCCAACCACTGAGCTGATCATCCCCAGTTGTTGCACAAAATCTGCTTTTCATTGCACGTCACAGTCTGATTGAGAATTGGGTTGTTGTTGTTGTGTACAAGAAGAGAAGACGACATTTCAAAACAATGATTTTTTTTTTATTTTCAGTCAAAAATGAGGTACCCACTTATCAAGCTTTTTCACCTTTCCAATTTGCTTCAAAAGCCGTAGAATGGTTGACATTGAGTTCTTCGGCAACTTCTTGTGTAGTTGATCCGCTTACAGGATCTGCTTCGACGATGGCTCTCAATTGGTCATCATCAACTTCCGATGGCCAGCTACTGTGCTCCTCATCTTCAAGGCTCTCATCTCCTTTACAAAACTTCTTTCTTTTTCTTTTTTGAGACAGAGTTTCGCTCTGTTGCCCAGGCTAGAGTGAGTGCCGTGGCGTCAGCCTAGCTCACAGCAACCTCAAACTCCTGGGCTCAAGCGATCCTCCTGCCTCAGCCTCCCGAGTAGCTGGGACTACAGGCATGTGCCACCATGCCCAGCTAATTTTTTCTATATATATTAGTTGGCCAATTAATTTCTTTCTATTTATAGTAGAGACAGGGTCTTGCTCTTGCTCCGGCTGGTTTCAAACTTCTGACCTCGAGCAATCCGCCTGCCTCGGCCTCCCAGAGTGCTAGGATTACAGGCGTGAGCCACCTCGCCCGGTCATGCAAAACTTCCTGAAGCACCAATGCACTGTACGTTTGTCAGCAGTTCCTGGGCCAAATGCGTTGTTGATGTTGCGAGTTGTTTCCGGTGCTTTATGACCCATTTTTAACTTGAATAAGAAAATTGCTTGAATTTGCTTTTTGTCTAACATCATTTCCATAGTCTAAGATAAGTATAAAATAAACAGCAATAAGTCATTAGCAAAACAACATAAAGAAATGCACATTAAAATGATGTATAACATAACCATATTTATTTAAGAATGCATTCCAATATCAAACAGCAAATTTCAACAATGCTAAAACTGTAATTACTTTTGCACCAACCTAATAGCAGGTAAAATCTGAAACCTATTGGGCAGTAAGAAATTCCCAAGCCCAAGTATTTCTGTGTGAAATTTCTTCCAAAAATATCTCTTTCTATTAATTGATTGATCATATTGTGTTTCAATTTTTACCTATTTAATTAGTTTTAGACAGGTTACAATCTGTTTTGCCTATCTATTATATTTCTTTATTTATAAACAAGAATAAGGCAGCAGTAATCAAAGACAACACTGAAATATTTAGATACTAGTCACAGGTACTGGCTGAGGTAGATATTTATAGTATTTCTGATTAATCTCAATTTGTTCTATAAGTAAGTTTAGTTTTTCCCTCACTTAGAGCAGTGTTTTGAAAACACTAATAGGAAAATTAAGATATTAGTAGATGGAGCACAAAGATGTAACAACATAGGATTTATCTGCAGTCTTTTCCTTAGATAGCATCACTTCTGCTTTATCACTTTGCACATTGACAAGTTTTTTTCACCCTAGAACTCTAGGAAGAATTTTCTTTAGATGTACCACATGAACCACCAAATATTAATGAACATATTTCTTTTCTATCCTTTAAAAATGTCACTGACACTACCGATACTAAACTATAACATTCAAGGTTCATCCCTTTCTCCTCTAAACAGTATGTCTTAAGGAATTAAAGCGCAGACTAAACATATGCTCATTTCTAAACCCTTTTTATCTGGAAGGCAATAAAAGAAACTATTTTCTTTCCTGAAACTATTCAACCATTTATCTATTGTCTCTTTTTTAAAAAAATTAAAAGAGAAAGGAATTTTGCTAATTACTTTTCATTCACAGAAGAAAGTTTGGATTATTATTAAATATCTTTTTAAAAGAGACCAGGTCTAGATCTGTAGCCTGGGCTAGAGTAAAGTGGTGCAATCATAGCTCACTGTAACCTTGAACTCCTGGGCTCCTCCTCCTGCCTTAGACTCCTGAGTAGCTGAGACTACAAGCATGTTTTATCACATCTGGCTATTTTATTTTTTGTGGAGATGGGGTTTCAGTATGTTGCTCAGGCTGGTCTCAAACTCCCAACCTCAATGGATCCTCCTACCTTGGCCTCCCAAAGTGCTGGGATTACAGGCATGAGCCACCATGCCTGGCCCTGGATTACTTTTTTGATTAAGCACTAAACTATGTATATAGTAAACTTTAGGTGGTTCTAATAAGTGTATGACTCTCTAAAGATCTAGTATAGTATTATATTTATTTTTTTAATTCCCAAATATTTAAAAACAAACAAATAAAACAAAAAGGAAGACACATACCTCCCATCTTCCAGCTGAAGGGCTCTCAAGCCTGCTAAACAAGCTTCTTTATTTACCCGGCTTAAGTCGTCTCCAAGAATAACTAAGCACGAAAGGCCAGTGTAGGTCATTGCTATGTGGCCACTATCATAAGGATGAGCTGTTCCAGGATTCTAAATTCAAAATTAATATAATATTAATTAATTAAGTGAAATGAAAATGCATTTCATTAAGTAATCTGACATGATATTTTAGTAAATAGTAAAATTAAATGCTGCTTATATTGATGTGTATAGAAATCTAATTGAGAAAAACAAATCTCCATTTTTATTAATATGTATGTCTCAAGGTGAATATGACTGCATAATTTCAGGCTACATAATTTTTAAATTTATCTTAGAGATCTCAAGCTTTATAAAAGTTGTCATGATATTGAAGTAAACCAAATTATTTGATCTTCATATTTAATCAACTCTATCACTTATAATTTGACTCCTATAACAGTAGAAAAACATTTAGCCTTTCAAACAAAATTTACAAAAAAACAAAAATTCTTTTATATAGTACAAATCTAAAATACCACAGTAGTAATCACCATATAGGAAATTTAAAAACTATATAGTTGAGGGGAAGGATCAAGATGGCGGACGAGAAACACCGCCAGACAAAGTGTCTCTGCAGAAAAGACAGATTCTAGCAGAAAATTAGAAAAAAGAAGCAAGACGACGAGCCTACAGCGGACGAGGGCTGGAAGGAGGGCGACCTGAGACCCCGGGAGATTCCATGGGAGGAGGTCACGGAGAAGAACTAGAAGCTGAGACCGCCGGAGCAGCCTGGAGACCAGTGGGAAGGGTAGATGGATGGCGGTTTCCCCTCCCCTGCATTTGGGACTGCTTGTGTGGGCTCCTCAGTGGGTGGAGAGACCTACAGACACCAGCCCAGAGACGGCCACCACCAGCTAGCAGTGAGCCTGTAGCAGACGCGGCACCAGGCTCCTAACTCCCTTGGGGCACCTCCGTGTGCACAGACCCGAGCTGCCCGGCAGGCGCCATATTGCATCCTTCTCCCCTTTGCCAACCCTACCTGCGGCTGTCCAAAGAGACAATATAGCCACCAGCCGAAGGCACCTCCAGGGAACGGGACCTTCCCTTTCGGGACCCTACAGCTGACTAAGGGGAACTCAGACTGTGAGCTCCCTCCCCACGAGCCCTCCTGGGTGCTGCTGGCACGGTGATCCCAGGAGAACGGGGCAGACTCTGAGGCTGAGAGACATAGACCCAGCTTGGGCTCCCTGTGGGTGAATTGGGACCGGAACTCCTCTCCCTGGTGGGGATACAGTTTGAACTCTGGGACCCAGAGGTCAGACCTGCAGACTAGATACCGAGCACCCAGGTCTCGCATTGCCCGGGGCACAGAAGGGATATACATGAACAGCCTACTGAAATGTGTGTGCCTTCAGGGGCAGATCAGCGTCCTAGAGGGCAACCCTCCTCCCAAAAGGAGGCCGGGCGCCCAGCCCAGGTGGCGTTCCAGCACAGGGAACTTCCTCGCCGGCATCACAGTCCGGGGAGGCCTGGTGGCGTGTGGTCTGGCCTGCTGGCAGAGCCCCAAGAGTAGCTGCAGAGTTGGGGAGGGTGGAAAGAAACAAGGCCCGCTCCAGACTGCGAGTCTCAGACAGCCCCAACCCCACATGCAGACTTTCTGGCTGAGTGTGGCCTTTCCAGCCCATCCCTGACAGCTTTTCCTAGAAGCAGAGAACAGAACTTTGACCCTTGCTAACGGCACTGGTGGTGCCTGAGGGCAGGCTTACCCAACCCAGCTCCGCCCAGACTCTCTCCTAGACCAGCCCTCACTGAGGGGGAGAAAAGGACACACCTGGAAGTCCCAGGGCCCCACCCACCACTTGAGGCACTAGAGTGCCTCCCTACAGGAACAAGAGCTGATAACAGTCCCTAATAAAAGCATTTAGAATAGCAAAAAACAAACCAAAACATGCAAAGAGCTCCAAATACTAAATATGAAAAAATGTCTAGAAATAAAATAGTATAACTTGTTAAAATTTGGAACCCAAATGGATATTGCTTGCAAAAAATGTTTTATGAAGGCTATGGTCTTATAGACAAAAGATTAGACTAGCAATTTTCCAGGCAGAATGAGGAAGACCAGGAAACTCATATTATCATAATATAGGGTTAGATTATTTGACTGATTTGATTATTTCAGTAAAAGATAACTATAAATAAATATCAAATATTTCTTAAGCTTTATAAAATAAGTGACTCCTTGTAGGAAATCCTGGACACAGGCATAGATAAAACTGTAATTTAGGGGGAAATGGGCATTTATTGAAACCTTAAAATCTGTACCCCCATAATATGCCGGGGAAAAAAAAACAAAAAACCCTGTAATTTAAAAGTGGCTTATTATGCCAAATAATTTTACATTCTACAAAAAGCATTTAATGTTTTAAGATAGTTTCAAATGATCCTATTTATTGGTTATTTTAAGTAATTTTAATTGAAAAATGTAAAATTTCAAATTACACTGTTTTCTCAGTTTAAGAAAGTTATACTTTTGCAAGAACAAAAGTATTTTTTATGTTTTATAATATAAAACATTTTAATAGACATAGTTGTACATATTTATGGGCACACAGTGATGCTGTGATATATATACATATAGTGATCAGATCACAGGAATTAGCATATCCACCATATCAAACATTTATCATTTCTTTGTTGGGAACATTAAATATCATCCTTCTAGTTATTTGAAACTATATATTGTTGTTAACCATCAGCATCCTACAGTGTTATAGAACACTACAACTTATTTCTCCTATCTAGATGTAATTTTGTATCTTTCTCTCTCCCTATCCCTCCTCCTACCCCTTCCATTCCCACCCTCCAATATCCAGTTTTACTTTCTATGAGATCAAGAATAAGTGAGTGTGTATGGGTACTTTCTTTTTTGAGATGAGGTCTCACTAGGTTGCCCAGGCTGGTAGCTGGGATTACAGGCATGCATCATTGTACCTAAGAGTATATTCTTAATTCACCTTCACGTAAGTTTGCCTTCTGTTTCTGTTTGGGTTTACCAATAACTGATTCAGATACTAGAATAACTGCTCATAATATTAGAAAGATATAATAAAATTTGTACCATGGTTTTGGCTAAAATAAACTCTTCTGCCTTCTATTTAGTACCTACCTCATAGGGTTATTTTAACGGTTAAATAAATAAATTACTGTCTAAAAAGGTGTTAGCTATCTTTTTTTTTTTTTTGAGACAGTCTCACTTTGTTGCCCAGGGTAGAGTGAGTGCCATGGTGCCAGCCTAGCCTACAGCAACCTCAATCTCCTGGGCTCAAGCAATCCTGCTGCCTCAGCCTCCCAAGTAGCCGGACACCACCATGCCCGGCTAATTTTTCTATCTATATATACATATAAATTTCTTTCTATTTATAGTAGAGACAGGGTCTCGCTCTTGCTCAGGCTGGTTTCGAACTCCTGACTTCGAGCAATCTGCCCGCCTCGGCCTCACAGAGTGCTAGGATTATAGGCGTGAGCCACCTCTCCCGGCCTAAGATGTTAGCTATATTAATGATGATTTAAGTGCAAGGCAAATATAAAAAGGGCCACCATTTCTTTAGAGTCATGACCCAAGGGTGTTGGAACCACCAATGATTTTATCAGATAATTTTCCTCCATACTGACCTGTCATTCCTCACAGAATGAGTCTGCATGCTGTTTAATACCCTTTATTATCTGAACTCACCCAACTATCCACTACACAATTCTTTATATAGGCTTACAAATATACCAAGCAAATTTTCATCTTGACACCTTTCATTCTAAGTTCCTTCTTAGAACTCAAGCTCTAGTTCTCCTAGGTATTCTATTCCACATTTATTTAGAATTCCTATAGTATATTTCACTTTTTGGTACTTAAAGTGAGTATCTGCTATGTTAAAAGAACTGTAGAAAATCCATATATAAATCAAATGTGGACCTTAACCTTAAGGGCACAAGAGAGGTCTGCTCAAATAATTATAATACAAAGAATATAATAAGTAGTCATAAGGGAGATACAATAGCACATGAATTTAAACAGGAATTCTTTTCTGCAGAAGAGGAGCTTGGGCAAGTATAGAAGAAGAGGAGGCATTACAGGTAGAAGAAAAAATAAAAGCAAATTAGAGAAGGAAAATTCTGGGGTATATATTAAGGAAAACACAGAACTTAATAGAGAGGATGGGATTCATGAAGGAAAACAGTGAAGGTACCATGCATATATCAGGTAAGTCAACGATCTATAGGTAGTTTGGTGCTTTCGGAAGAAAAACTGATGACACCATTCTATTTATATACTGTATTGCTGTGGTCCCCAACCCCTAGGCAGTGGCCCAGTACCAGTCTGTGGCCTGTTAGGAACCCGGGCTCACCGTGCATCACCACCCAAACTCCCCTCTACCCCAACCTCCACCCCCGCTCCTTCAATAGGAAAATTGTCTTCTATGAAATTTAGGAACTGGGAGCACTGCAGGAGGTGAGCAGAGAGAAGGGGTGCAAGAAGCTTTATCTGTATTTACAGCCACCTCCCTCCCCATTGCTGGCATCACAGCCTGAGCTCCCTCACTCCACCCTCATCTGTGAGAAAAATTGTCTTCCATGAAACTGGTCCCTGGTGCCAAAAAGGGTGGGGACAATCTTATGTGCCTCCTCAGATTCTCTTGGCCTTACAATGTCTGCTAGACTCTCAGCCACCACCCTTAGTGACAACTCTGTGATTCCACCTGGGGTCTCTACCTCCTTTTACCATTCAGATGAAGGCAACACAGTATGGAGTGAGACCTAGCTTCCCCAGAAGATGAAAGGATCTAGGTGAATGAAGAGCCAAAAATGGGTTTCAGGAGACTCTGTAAACCAAGGGCAAACATGGTTTCTTCTTCAGTTTTATTCTTGGTATTCTGAACATGTTTTAGGGGAGAAGATGCCTTTTAAAAAAAATTTAAAGCACTGTTTTTCTCCACTACCTACAAGTATACATCTGTACATGGTCTAGGACTGTATAATGGTCATTATTACCACTGTCGTGATATCCAGATAACCTGTTTATTATGACTAAAGGAAGAGGATACCTTTACTCAGTTGGAAAACATACATATGAAAAAAGGGGACAAATTTTATGAATCCTTTGTCTTTATATTCCCTAAGTTCAATGAGTACACATGACTGAGACACCTTGGTGAATTTATATGACCTTGACCTAGGCAAGCTGGTCTATAGCTTAAGGCAGAGGAAGAAAAAGTAAAGTAGTGCTTTGATCAAATCATGTCATTTCCAAAATCACTGCAACTTACTCCAAAATTCTGACTGGCAGCACTCCTTTACCTTTAGCTTGCAAGTGGATACCAATCTGGATATACTCAGCACAATGAGATACTGACTTGTAACCATTATACAAGCAGATTAACCCCATGAAGGAAAGTTTTTATTTTGTTAGGCCTCTTTAGAAAAAATGAAGTTTTTCCACTTTCTACTATAGAAAAATATTAGTACTTTTTGTTCACAGATAGAACCACCTACAAAGTTTGTTCTGGGTCTGCTTCTTTGAAGAAGAAAGAAGCTCCTCACTCTATTAGGACTCACTGAAAATACCAGCATGTGTTGGTACCAAAGCCTCTGCCTGTAACTCTGAGGAAATTTTGCCTATTGCCATAAAAGTCATCAAATTACTACATGTGTTTTCAATCACTGCCTTTTTCATTTATTCTTAAGAAATGAGAGCCAAACATAAGAGTCCTTCTATAACACATAGACGTTTACTAGCTTCTTAGCCAGCAAGTATCAAGTGCTTTATTTCCATTTTCTTCAGGAAATCACCAATAATATTTACATATACACGCTAGTGAGATATTTTTTATAACAATTAATAGAAATTTCTGTGTGTATTATGTGCTACACTTTCTTCTAGGAAGTAAGATGAGTATGTTTCCCTTAAGAGGTTTTAGTTTATAATATACATTTATTGACAGTATTTAGCTATATTGAAACCTGGAAGCCTGGTTCTTTCTGTATAACTTCTCAGTTTTCTCTCTTACTAAAATCTCTCCACATTCCCTTCTGCTTCCTTCTGACCCCAGAAAAACTAACCTTTGATGGGTTGAATGGAATACCCAGGTATGAAGAGCCTCGGAAACCACAACGATTTAGATTTGATCCTAGAAAATAAAAACGTGCTTGATTAAAATACATCTTACTTTTGTACAGACTCTAGAGCAGTTTAATTATACAATCTTTTGGAAACAGTATTGCGTACCAAAGCTTTGTCATTGTCTCCATTTTCATGGTAGCTAATGTTGAATGCTCACCATGTGCCAGGTCTGTTCGAGGTGCTTTACAGGAATCTCATTTAATTTTCACACCAGAGACAAAATAATGATTTCTTACCATGTACCTTTTATTTATGCCCCACCTCACTACCTACAGAATGCCTCTATAATTCTATAAGACAATTTTTCATGTGATCAACATAATTCAATCCTGCTTTCTATAGAACAGAAAACAGAAGCCCAGAGGTTAAGTGACATGCTCAAGGTAACAGTTAATAACACAATAGGGTCTAAAATCCTAACTTCTTACCTCGTGTCCTTTTACTTTAGCTCATAGCTTCTTTACATGCGAGCAAGCTAAAAGTATACAACCATAGAGAAAATAAGTATTTTGTATTTCAGTATTGGAAAAACCTTCACTCTTCCAATAATCTACTTGTCTTTGAAGTAAAGAGAACACTATAAGTTAGCACTTAGTCTCTACTCAATCAAAATGTTTATTCACACATTTTTTTCTATGCAAAAATTTTCATTTTTTAAGATATCAATGAACTATAAGTTGGGAACTTAAAATAATCACCTCCACAATAATTATGGTTTTGATAGCTATTTAATATTAGAAAATCAGCACGACATAAGCAGAAGAATGCAGTAACAGACCATAGATGTACTGCCAATAAAAAAAAGTCAAGTTGGTTTAAAAAAAAGGCTCTGATGTGAAGAATTACCTTAATATCTCTTTTGACTGTACATGACTGATTCCTTATAACTGATTTTCACTCTCCATTTTCTTCAAATCAGACACTGTACTTTATTCAGCAAAGACCTTTATGCCAAATAGGGTCACATTTTGAAGTTCTGGGTGAACATATCTCTATGGGGCCATTATTCAACCCATTACAGAATACATCAGAATATATCAGACAGGGTAAAAAATTATACTACTAAATTGCCTTTAAAAAGGTTGTAATAATTCTCATCTCCACCAACAGAATGTTAAGTACTCTTTCTTCTGTATCCTTGCCAACTTTTAGTTAAACCGACGTGTTAGGTAAAAAAAAATAATAATGTAACACCATTGTTTTGATTGCATTTCCCTGATTTCTAGTAAGGTTACTCATCTTTTCATGTATTTACAGGTTATCTGTAGTACTTTTTTTTTTTAACAACCTATGCATAAATGTTATTTTCTAAAGGATGTGTCTTTTTCTTCTTAATCTTTAGGAATTCCTTAGATATTAATATTTTGTTTATTATATATACATATATTTATATATATACACAATTTTCTGCAAGTCTATCACTTATCTAACTTGGTTATTTTTCACTACATAAAAATTTAAAATATTTACTTAATCAAATCTATCAAAATTTTCCTTTATAATCTACATGTTTTGTTTAACATTTTTGGATTTTTTTTTTGAGAGACAGTGTCTCACTCTGTCACCCTGGCTAGAGTGCAGTGGTATCATCATAGCTCACAGCAACCTCAAACTCCTGGGCTCAAGCAATCCTCCTGCCTCAGCCTCCCCAATAAGCTGGGATTTCAGGCACATGCCACCACACACAGCTAATTTTTTTATTTTTAGTAGAGATGGGGTCTTGTTCTTGCTCAGGCTGGTCTCGAACTCCTGACTTCAAGTGATCCTCCTGCCTCGGCCTCCCAGAGCGCTAGGATTACTGGTATGAGCCATCATGTCTGGCCTATTTTTGGATTCTTAAACTCTCTAGATTTTATGTGAAATCTTGAAGTTGAACAAATATAGACCTATGAATTGTAAAAAGGATATTCTACTAAGTCTGCAAATGCTTCATGAATGAGAAAATATTTGAGGAGCCAGATGATGCTGTAGGCTAAATGTATAAATCTAGAAAAAAGGAAGAGAGAAGTTGGAGAAGGTGAAGGTGATTTAACAGTCTACGAACTCCTCGTATAAAACAATGTTTTAGGCACTGACAGGGAAAAGAAATGTAAAACATTCACATTCTCTGCTTTCCAGAAGTTTACAATTCAGATGGAAGCCAAAATATTTTAAACAGCTTTTAAGCAGTCATTAAGCAGCAATGACTGAAGAATAAAAACTAGCAATGAGCTTCAAACCAACAAAGTCCATGGACAGAACATGAGAAAGAGAATGCTGATGGGTCTCAAAAGATATAGTGAGTTGCAACTCTAATTCCAAAAAATTTTCAAACTTTCGTTAAAGTATAATAAATGTAAAAAAAGTACACCTATCATAACTAAACAGCTCCATGAACTTTTGCAAAATAAACAACTGTATAACCATCATTCGACTCAAGAAAAAGTACATGACCAGCACTCCAAAAGCCCCTGCTACTTCCTTTTAGTCACTTCCCAAGAGCTCAGACTGCTTTTACTTATTTTTGTGTTTTATACAAATAATATACTAAGTACTTCTTTCTCTCAAAACACATCTGTGTAACTCACTCAAATAATTGGATAGACTGTTCATTCCCATTACTGTATTGTTTTCCATGGTATGAATATGCTATGAACATTCTAGTACATATCTTTTGGTGAACACATGGTTTTCATTTCTGTTGGGTATATATTAGGAGAATTGTTGGGTCACAGAATTTACATATGTTGCAAGTTAGTAAATACTACCAAATAGTTTTCCAAAGTACCATGTTTCCCCAAAAATAAGACCTACTCATAAAATAAGCCCTAGCAGGATTTCTAAGCATTTGCGCAATATAAACCCTACTCCCAAAATAAGACCTAGTGATGGCCATGGCTACACAGCGTGTCTGCACAACCCATGCATTTCATCATGGAGTGGTAACGAAGATGAGCAGCCCTTCTAATCTGCCCCATCGTGACAGCTACTATCCCAGAGGTGACCGGAAAGGTGCAGGCAACCCCACCAACAAGGTGGGTTCCCCCTGTCAGGTCCCGGCCATCCTGTGTGTGCTGCAAGCTGAGGCTTTGAGGGGAAAATAACACATCCACTGAAAATAAGCCTTAAGGTGTTTTCTTGAGGAAAAATAAATATAAGACCCTGTCTTATTTTCAGGGAAACACGGTAGTTGTAAAACTCCTTCACTTAGTGTATGAGAGTTCCAGTTTGCTACACTCTTGCCAACATTTGTTATTTTCCATCTTTTTCATTTTAGTCATTCTGGTGCATATGTATAATAGCAAACAAAATTATTATGGAAAATTATTATGGATTATGGAAACTTCATATGACAGCAAATCTCTTATAACAAAAGATTAAATAATAAAAACTATATAACCTTTAAAAAGAATACAAGTATTAGGCCGGGAGCGGTGGCTCATGCCTGTAATCCTAGCACTATGGGAGGCCGAGGCGGGCAGATTGCTCAAGGTCAGGAGTTCAAAACCAGCCTGAGCAGAGTGAGACCCCATCTCTACGAAAAATAGAAAGAAATTAACTGGCCAACTAAAAATACATAGAAAAAATTAGCCGGGCATGGTGACACATGACTATAGTCTTAGCTACGCAAGAGGCGGAGGCAGAAGGATGGCTTGAGCCCAGGAATTTGAGGTTGCTGTGAGCTAGGTTGACACAGTACTCTAGATGGGGCAACAGTGTGAGACTCTGTCTCAAAAAAAAAAAAAAAAAAAAAAAAGAATACAAGTATTAAAGTATTATAAAAAACTCATTTTGCTAATAAAATGATAGGGAGAAGTAAACAAATATTAAAGAATAGATCACAAAACAGCTCAATCATGGAGCCACCAAACAGTCCTTCAAATTGGAAGAAAATATAAGAAAAGACAAAGCAGGAAAAACCAAAGAAAAACCAAGAAATACCAAAGCATGGTGAGTAAGTGACCAATGTTCTGGAAACTATACCCTCTAGTACGAATTCTCTCACTAGAATGATATGGTCTATCATTGTTTTATAGAGACAATGGCTATTTTATTTCAGGAGAATGAGTATCAGCAAATTTTTAATAAATATAAAAGTATATTTCAGCAAAAACTTATAGAATAGCTTTTCTATGTGCCATGGTGTATATAATTCCCTGAGATGAATTCCTCTAAGAAACTGCAGCGTATTCTTTGATCCGTGGCATGTATTTTTAGTATAAAAGCAAAAACCCAAGCAAAATCTATGATACTACTACCTTACATCTGTCTAATATTTAACTTTAAAATAATCCCAGACTTAAACTATTAAAAAAAAATCCTGGCAAAAAAAGAAAACCATAAATAGCTTCTATTTTACAGGTGACTAGGACTACGACCTGGCCTCAGCCACGGGTAACTAGAGAATGAAGACAGTATCTTGTAATATATCACAATCCTTCTCCACAAGTTTAGCAGAGAAGTTAATAAATCTCTCACCAACATGTTAGAATCTATAACTACTGACCAAATTATCATATATGCTTCTTCATGTTGCTGGTGAAAAGTGATGAGATATTTACATATTAAATTCTAATCGACCTAGTTGAAAATGCTTAACCATTTTAATAAGAATTTGTAAATAGGCATAGATTTTAAAAATTACATAAAAACAAATACTATGAACTTCAAGAACAAAGTAGAAAGCTACAAACTATGTCCAAGATCATCTGTTAATAGAGAAAATCCTTCCTTTCCCTTTCCCTCCCTCCCTCCTTCCCTTCTTCCCTCCCTTCCTTAGTTTTAGTTTGTTATTTCTCCAAAGTTGCTTGGGTGAGATTTACACATGATTCCTCCAACCAATGAATCATATTGCTAATTTATAAATTCTGATTCTTTTAAGACAGATAAATGGAGACCACTGATAAAAATTGCATGATTTTCTAGCAGTTTATTTGCTTGACCTTTTTAAGGTTAGAATTTTTAACATTTGTAAGTTATATCTATGTTAGGTAATTTATACTTAACAGAGTGAATAGCAGAGATTATCTAACTTGTGTACAAGCAGCCCTGGGTTATGGATTACATGTTCCTGACAATGTCTTTATGTTAGATTTGTATGTAACTTGGATCCCTACTGAACAGCACATATAGGGTGATAATAACAATATGATAATGGCTCATATGTGGTAACACTAATACAATATAATATTATAATAATTAGTTGCAGAAACATTGTGCTCTTTAATTCAGACAAACATAAAAACAAACAAATACAAAAAGTTTAGTTGATAGGAGAAATTTCAAAAAAGAACATTAAAGGCTAACACTCACTTAACATTGCACAACACTAGGGTAGTAAGAATATTATGCTTATTTTTATTTTCTAACAAAATAATAACCTTTCCATTTCAATAATTAATCCACTATGCTTAGTAACAATTGATACCGTCATTGGAGCACTGCCTTTCACATATTCCACTATTCTCACTTTATCCTTTATAATTGTTCCATGGTCCAGTGGCTAAAGCCTAATGCCCTCCCAGTGAATGATGGCATCTGGCCTTTCTCTGAATGCTTAATTATTTCTACTTTCCTTTCCACTGTAATCACCCTTCTCTTTGCTGCAGGCTCACCTGAACTTGCAGTGGACTTTTGCTTTGGAAGCATGGTCATAAGGATAAACACAGACAAACAAAGTCAAATAAAAAGTTGAAATAAAAGTGATGCTGTAAGTGACCATATAAAGAAGATTAGCCACTAGGGTAACCAATGAACCACTCACACAATTAGGGTATGTTCATATGCACGGAAGAAACTAGTTCCTGAATTGTGTATTTAACTATTTCATTATAAATTATCTTTATGTGGAGCCTCAGGAGCCTGTTTGTAGATATGGAACGCCATAAATTTCGTTGTTTGCAACCTGGAACTTTGAGAATTAATCAAACACTTTAAAGTTTTAAAAAGTCTAAATATGACTGAAGCACAAGCGCTCTACAAAACCATTAAAGAAATGCTAATTAAACACTGGTGGGAAAATAACCAGGAGATTGAAATAAAACTTTTCCATAGCAAAGAGCTTTTCACTGAAGAGACCAAAAGAATGCAGGCAATGAAAAAGAGTCAATGCTATAAAACTAATCAAACATAAATATCGACTACAAATAATCAAAAGGCAGTCATCAATGTGGAAGTGTACAACATAGTATGGTGCTACAATTGTGAATCTCAATTTAATTCCAGACAACTGTAAATTGTTTTTTCAAGAGATTTATGATTCAAGAACAACGAAATTTATGGCGTCCATATCTACAAACAGGCTCCTGAGGCTCCACATAAAGATAATTTATAATGAAATTTAAATACACAATTCAGGAACTAGTTCTTCCGTGCATATGAACATACCCTAATTGTGTGAGTGGTTCATTGGTTACCCTAGTGGCTAATCTTCTTTATATGCGTTACAGCATCCATTTTATTCAACTTTTTATTTGACTTTGTTTGTCTGTGTTTATCCTTATGACCATGCTTCCAAAGCAAAAGTCCACTGAAGTTCAGGTGAGCCTGCAGCAAGAGAAGGGTGATTACAGTGGAAAGGAAGTAGAAATAATTAAGCATTCAGAGAAAGGCCAGATGCCATCATTCACTGGGAGGGCATTAGGCTTTAGCCACTGGACCATGGAACAATTATAAAGGATAAAGTGAGAATAGTGGAATATGTGAAAGGCAGTGCTCCAATGACGGTATCAATTGTTACTAAGCATAGTGGATTAATTATTGAAATGGAAAGGTTATTATTTTGTTAGAAAATAAAAATAAGCATAATATTCTTACTACCCTAGTGTGTGTCAATGTTAAGTGAGTGTTAGCCTTTAAGTTCTTTTTTTGAAATTTCTCCTATCATAAATTTTTGTATTTGTTTGTTTTATGTTTGGTCTGAATTAAAGAGCACAATGTTTTGCAACTATTATATATATTATATGTATTAGTGTTACACATATGAGCCATTATCATATTGTTATTATCACCCTATATGTGCTGTTCATTAGGGATCCCAAGTTACATACAAATCTAACATAAAGACATTGTCAGGAACATGTAATCCATAACCCAGGGCTGCTGTACACAAGTTAGATAACTCTGCTATTCACTCTGTTAAGATAAATTACTAACATAGATATAACTTACAAATGTTAAAATTCTAACCTTAAAAAGGTCAAGCAATAAACTGCTAAAAATCATGCAATTTTTATCAGTGGTCTCCATTTATCTGTCTTAAAAGAATCAGAATTTATAAATTAGCAAATGATTCATTGGTTGGAGAATCATGTGTAATCTCACCAAGCAACTTTGGAGAAATAACAAACTAAAACTAAGGAAGGGAGGGAAGAAGGAAGGAGGGAGGAGGGAAGGGAAAGGGAAAGGGAAGGAAGATTTCTCTATTAACAGTGATCTGGACATAGTTTGTAGCTTTCTACTTTGTTCTTGAAGTTCATAGTATTTGTTTTATGTAATTTTAAAATCCTATGCCTATTTACAAATTCTTATTAAAATGTTAAGCATTTTCAACTAGGTCGATTAGAATTTAATATGTAAATATCTCATCACTTTCACCAGCAACATGAGAAGCATTATGATAATTTGGTCAGTAGTTAATAGATTACTAACATGTTGGTGAGAGATTTATTAACTTCTCTGCTAAACTTGTGGGAGAAGGAATTGTGAATATACTACAAGATACTGTCTTTCATTCTCTATTAC